TGTTTGGGTGTCAGGTGATGTCATTAACTTTTTTTGCTGGAGGGTGTCTATGCAGCCTTGACTGGCCTGGAACTTGCTATATAGACCAGGCTGGTTTTAATTCAGAGATCTTTTTGCCTTCTGAGTCCTGGGATTAAAGATGTGCACTGCTACTCTTGGCTCAGTTTGTCTGCTCTTTGGGGTTGCCTGGCCTTTCAGGAAATTAGACTATCTTGTTCTTGAACTCCTGATTGGGGTGATGATGACACTGTGGTCCTGCAGGAAGATTTGTCAGGAATGGGGCTGGGAAAAGCAGGCATAGAAAGCATTATGAGTCTCATTGTGAGCCAGCTTTCCTTAGAGACCCTTTCATCTTTGGCAAACATTTTATCTGAGAAAGGAGAAAGACTTTCTGGGAACCTAGAGGTAATGGGGCAGAAGGCCATAGATGCTTCCTTTTGCCTTGGTCAACTGAGTCAAACAGCCTGAGGAGGAAGAGCAAGGTGGAAAGGCTGAGCCTGTCTGGGGTGGGGCAGGCAAGACAGGAGGAAGTAGTTGTCTGTTGGGAGGGTTGTGGGCACGAGAGCTGGCTCCTGCAGCAGGGGGAGCTGAGCAGGCTCTGAGGAGAGTACTGCGATTGGCAGTTGGCCATGAAATTTGATGGGTCAGCATTGGCTAACATTCCCCTCCTTCTTCACACTATATTCCTTCTGAAGTGGCCTTGTCCTAGCTCTCTATGGCCTGAATAGACATCCAGCATGTCTGCTTATCCAGATTGCACCTGACACAAAACCAGGAGGGATCTGCAGCCCATGTACTCAAAGCAGTGTTGAGCCTAGGAAGCAGAAGATTAGAACAAGGTCTGAACCAGGACAAGGAAAATAGTTACAAAGATGGAGACTTGGTTTAATTCTAGATTGGTCCTGGTGCTTGTGGTTGTCTGTCTAGGCTAATAGCAGGGCTGCTGAGGAGGCTGTGTTGAGGAAAGAGTCTAGTTTGGCAAGGAGGAACAGCTCCACGGTTCCTCTGAGGTCAGCATATACTAGGTACCAGGCCACAGAATGGTGAATACCTGAGAGCAGAAAAGAACACCCAAACATACCTGTATCTCAGCACTGGGGAGTTCCAGGCCAGCTTGGCTGTATAGTACAAGGTAGCCTGGGGAAATGGAAAGACTGTGTTGTGTGCATGTATGTGTGTGTTGGGTTTCTTGTGGCTTTATAAAGATCCTGCAGAGAAGGAAAGAAGAAAAGAGAGGATAGCCGGGCGGTGGTGGCGCACGCCTTTAATCCCAGCACTCGGGAGGCAGAGGCAGGTGGATCTCTGTGAGTTCGAGACCAAGTCTGGTCTACCAAGCGAGTTCCAGGACAGGCTCCAAAGCCACAGAGAACCCTGTCTCAAAAAAAAAAAAGAAAAGAGAGGATATTGGTGGTTGTGTCTCCATGTGGGCTTGAAGTTTCTGCACTATGGTAATGTGAGGATGACATTCTTTCTCTTGGGACCCAGGGCCTTGTCTGCCCTCACCAGGGCCTCACAATATTGGGGGCCAACATCCTTGCTGGGAAGTACTTTGTTCAGGAAGGCTGTTCTTGGGGTCTGACTTGCATTCATTCTCCTGTACATCTTTTTTTGTTACTTCCCCACTTCCTCTGACTTTGTTTCCAGCAGCCTTTGTCCAGTAGGTGTTTGACCAGTTCACTGAGGTTCCAGGACTGTTGGTGAATGCCTGCTTTGTTCCTCTCTGAACTTTTCAGGCTCTCTAGGTTCATCCTAGATCACCAGTTTTGGGCCAGTCAGAGACTGACTCTGGGCACTTTGAGTTATCTTTATAAAAATAGTTATAGTATTTAAAGGTCAGATCTGGTCTGAGGAGAGGGCCTATGAGAGGGAATGAAGGTTAGACTTAAAGACTTGGGGCTGACTTTTCTCTATGTCCTAGGATCGGGAGGAGCGGAAGCTGTTGCTGGACCCAAGTAGCACCCCCACCAAAGCCCTCAATGGAGCTGAGCCCAACTACCACAGCCTACCTTCAGCTCGCACAGATGAACAGGCCCTGCTTTCTTCCATCCTTGCCAAGACAGCTAGGTGAGTGTCACAGGACCAGGTTGGGGCAGAGGTGGCCAAGCTTAGAGCATAGCAGATAGGACAAGGTCACTAGAGAGAGATGCCTCTGGGTTCTGCCCTGTTAGAGTGGCAGGTGGGAATACTAGTGTCAGGTAGCCTTGGACTTGGCACGTAGCACTGATTCTTATCTGTGCCTCTCTGAAGCACCTGTCATTTCTTCTCTGCTTCTTGTCTTCAAAGCAACATCATTGATGTGTCTGCTGCAGACTCCCAGGGCATGGAGCAGCATGAGTACATGGACCGGGCAAGGCAGTACAGGTGAGCACAGGGAGCCTCCTAGTCATTCCTCTCTAGCTTTGGAGTCTGGTTCCCTGTCCAGGCTCTTCATTTGGGTGCAGCCCAGAAGACTGACTGCAGATCACTTAGTTGCCTCAGGCATTCAAGTGAGCCCTGTTTGTCCAGTATATTTGATCAAGAGTGATCAGTCCAAAGGAATACAGTCGAGTTTGATTGTGATGAGCTGTATACTGTCACCATGTTCTCCTGGCCTGAGAGAGTGAGGCTTTCCTGGGCTGGGCAGGGCAGGGCAGAACAAGTTTTGTCCTAATTGCCCATGACCCCTCCCTCTTGGCCAGTACCCGATTGGCTGTGCTTAGCAGCAGTCTGACCCATTGGAAGAAGCTGCCACCGCTGCCGTCTCTGACCAGCCAGCCCCACCAAGTGTTGGCCAGCGAGCCCATCCCCTTCTCCGACTTGCAGCAGGTGAGCACTCCTGACCTGACCCATGCCCCCTTCCATACTGCTTCACAAACAGGAGGGAGCCTGGCTTTTGGTGAGCCCAGCTTATTCCCACCTTGTTCTCTTATTTTCATAGCCTTCTTAGTTCTTCCCCATACCCTTTACTTTCCCAGCATCCATCTGCCCTTGTTTTTGTCTGCTCCCCTCCTCCCCATCTCCTTCCCTCCCTGCCTCCCTCCCTCCCAAAGATAAAACCCAGAACTTTGTGCATGCTAGGCAAGTGTTAACCCTTGTTTTTGAGAAAGGACTCACTGCTTTAGCCCAGGCTGTCATTGAGCCTCCTGAGTGGTGGGATTACAGACAAGCACCACCACACCCAGCTCTTTTTGGCTTTCAGTCCTTCATCAAACCTTCCCTTTAGCTGGGCGTTGGTGGCGCACACCTTTAATCCCAGCACTCGGGAGGCAGAGACAGGGGGATCTTTGTGAGTTCGAGGCCAGGCTGGTCTACAGAGCGAGTTCCAGGACAGCCTCCAGAACAATACAGAGAAACCCTGTCTCAAAAAGCAAAACAAAAAAAGCAGAAAAAGAAAAAGAACCTTTACCTTTATTGCTATTCCATCTCCCGTTTTCCCAGTTCTCCCTCTCATGTCTGTTCTTTTCCTCCCTGGCTCGTCTGTCTCAGGTCTCCAGGATAGCTGCGTATGCCTACAGTGCACTTTCTCAGATCCGTGTGGACGCGAAAGAAGAGCTGGTTGTACAGTTTGGGATCCCATGAAGAGAGGGGTCCTGGGACAGCTCTTCCCTCCTCTTCATCCCGTCTCACCCCACCTCTTCTGGCCCCCAGCCTCACTGTGGCTTTCTACAGTGCTTAACCTGCTACTAATCACGGAGAAGAATGTGGAGGCGAAGAATAAGGCTAGAAGCCTGAGCAAGTGAGGACTGAGCAAGGGAGGGGAGAACCGATCGCCACTGGCCTTCAAGTCCTGGCTGGGGTGAGGTTGGGGCCAAGAGGACTGGGTCTGGCAGATCTTCACAGTCATTGGGAAAATAGAGATACCACTGTAGGGGTGAACACCGGGAGACCTAGGGGATCCCCCTTCCCACCCTTTCTCTTGGCCTCCAATTCACTCCTGCCCTATTCCCTGACTTGGTGCTCATAGGCACCTCGCTAGGGATTATGACCAGGGTCTAGATGAGCTTGAATCTGAATTGAGTTTGTATTTCTAGTGCCCTGGGTTTTTACATGTTTGGTCTTTTTGTTTTTGTTTGTCACCCCACGATAAAGGAAGTATATTCAGTTGTGTTGCTGGTTCAGCCTGCTCTGTCATGCCTAACCCCTCCACTATTTATCTCTGGCTATTCAAGTTTGTGAGCAGTGAGATGCAGAGGAATGTCTTCAGCAGCATTAAAGAAGAATCCAGGAGATAAAAGCTCAGGGTTGCCAGGTTTTAGCTGATGCAGTGTGGTAACCTCAGGTAGGATGAGACTATTCATTTTCCCCTATCTATTGCTGCTAACACTGTCAGAGCACTGTTGGAGACCTTGCTTCAGCTCAGTAGGCTTACACATAGTCTCTAGGGGTAGGAGGAGGTCATACTCTGCTGGTCATTCATTTCAGGAAATTAAATTTCTTTGTTGTTGAGACAGGGTCTCACTCTAGTTTTGGCTGTCCTAGAACTCATTGTGTAGACCAGGCTGGCCTTGAACTCGCAGAGATCCAATTGTCTCTGCCTCCAGTGCTGGGATTAAAGACATGTGCAATCACCACCAGGCTAGGAAATGAAATCTTAACCAGAATCATAACCTGAGAGTAAAACTACTCCGCTCTAATAAAAATAGACCAAAGCTATTTTCTGGCCCTAGTCTGGAGGCTCCAGGCCGCTCCTCACACCTTGGTGGTTTATGAAGGTTTCTAGTGAGGCATAGTGGCTTATTCCTGTGATACCAGCACTCGGGAGGCTGAGGCAAGAGGATACTACAAAGCCAAGGCCAGCCTGGGTTAGAGTTGAATCTCCTTTTTAAAAAAGGTTTTTGGAAATTGCTAAGCTAATCTACTCCATTCCATGACATCTCAAGGTTTAAAGAGTACAGAGGGGTCCAGTGAGGATAGAAGAGTTTCTTACATGATCGCACCAGGCTCCTGGGTCCTAGGCCAGTAGGCAGGCCTTTGCCTCCACTATGAAGTTTTACTGGTAGTTGCTGGGCATGGAGACATTCTTACAAGGTACAAGGGCCTTTATTCTGCTGAACAGCTCAAATCATTTATTGTCAAACCAAGCTGATCATCCTCAGGGCATTGGGTGTGCTGGGGTCCTGCCAATCTCAGAGTACATCCTGCTTGACCCGGCCCTTCTTGGGCTTGATGTTCATTCGTTTCCAGACTTCAGCTGTGGTGCGGTCTGCCTTGGTGATTCCACTGAAGTCGAACGTGGTGATACGGGGCAGGTTGCACAGCACATACTGCCTGTGAGGAAGACTTGGGCTGGGGCGAGCCCCCATATAGAACTCCCTCCCCTCTCTACCAGTTGCTGCTATCGCTCCTCTGACAGCAAGGAATGGAGGAGAGCTTGGCTGTGATTTGGGAAGACTAGGATCATTCTGAGATCAAGGGGAGTGCTTAGAGGTTGCCACTTCCTCCTGTGGTCTACATGCGACAGAAGAATGGTTTTGTATTTCTTGTCTCCCCTCCCCTTGTTGTTTCTCAGGAAGGCTCATCTGGACCCCAGCTCCAGATACTTACCTGTACCCCTTTTCTTCCTCTATGGGGTTCCCATGGAGGGTCAGGCTCCGGAGACGAGGGAGGACAGATAGCTTATTCACCTCCCCTAGGTGATGGATGCTGTTGCCATGAAGGTAGAGGACACTTAGGTTGAAGAATGTTGTTAGGACCTGTTAGGGCAGAAATCAAAAGTCAGGCTGGACAAAGACTGGATCTCTGCTCAGACAGACTATTTGGCAGAGAAAGAAGAGTCTGGAGAACAACTTGGTCCCCCTTAGCACCCTACACAGCCATTCTAGATGACCCTACTTTGCTTTTATTACATTAAAAAAATTATGTGAATGGATACTCATGTATATGTATATATACATATATATACACCACATGCATGCCTAGTGCTTGTGGAAACCATTGGATTCCCTGGAACTGGATTTACAGTTAGTTGTAAGCTACCATGTGGGAGCCAGGAATTGAACCTAGGTCCTTGGAAGGGCAGCAAGAGCTCTTCACTGCTGAGCCATCTTTCTAGTCCTTATTTTATGAGTGTGAGTATTTGCCTGTGTATACATCTGTGCCCCACATAAGAGCCTGATGAAAGTCAGAAGAGGGCATCAGGTCCCCAGGATGGAATTATATGGGTGGTTGTGAACCATCATGTATGTGCTAGGAACTGAACATGGGTCCTCTTGCAAGAACAATAAATGCTCTTAACAGAGTTAGGAACAAAACCTAACATAGAACTGGCATCCAGCTGGTTATGCATTTGATTTGCCAGGTGACAGCTCTCCTCCTTGAGACTTAACTTGATCCTGAAGACGACCTTTCTAACTGAACTGTGATGACCCATGATTCCGCCTGCAGGGGAGTATCAGCTCACCATAGCAGCTTTGAAGATCCTAGTTGAGTTCCTATCATTATATATTGGAGGGGAATGTTCTCCAAGTCATACTCCAAATCTTTGCCCTTCCAATAGGGATCTTGTTTGCTTCCTTTTCTGTCTTTTTTTTTTTTAAGATGTATTTATTTATTCTGTATACAGTGCTGTCTGCATGTGTTCCTGCACGCTGGAAGAGGGTGTCAGATCTCATTATAGGTGGTTATGAGCCAACGGGTGATTGCTGGGAGTTGAACTCAGGACCTCTGGAAGAGCACCCAGTGCTTTTAACCTCTAAGCCACCTCACCAGCCCCTTTTTCTGACTTTTTTCCTTCTCCTTTCTCATGTAGTCCAAGATGGCCTCAAGCTCACTATGTAGCTGAGGATGACCTTGAACTCCTCTTCCTACCTTCACCTTCCAAGTGCTACAATTACAAGCAAGTACCAGCATGCTTGGCCACATTATGTTTTTAAAACTTAGATTTCAGCCGGGCAGTGGCGGTGCACACCTTTAATCCCAGCACTCGGGAGGCAGAGGCAAATGGATCTCTGCGAGTTTGAGGTCAGGCTGGTCTACAAGAGCTAGTTCCAGGACAGCCTCCAAAGCCACAGAGAAACCCTGTCTCAAAATTTAAAAAACCACCTTAGATTTTACAGAAAGCAACTGATATACTTTTCTACTACCTCTTCCCAAGTAGAGCTTAGCACAAAACACAATTAAGTTCCTAATGGTGACTGCTATAGTTTTGCCCCAGTCACTGTTAGGCAAATTGGTTCTCACACATTTTCATTTAATCCTTACAAAAATCATTACGATTATGGCATCTTATCCCCATTTATAGTAGGATTGAAGTTTTAAGAAACTATGTAGGTAGTGAGACTGCAGGAGGCAGAAGCAAACCAGGTGGGTATTTGTAAGTAAAGGCCAGCCTGGTCTACATAATGAATTCCAGGGATACATAGGGATACATAGTGAGAGTATCTCAAAAAAAAAAAAAAAAAACAAAGAAGATATTTAGTCACATAATAAGGGGGGAACTAAAGATCTGTGCCTACATCTGCAGCTATGTGCTTTGAACTGCACTGTATTGCCTCTGCTTCCCTGATAAGGGAGGAAAAAGGCTGTGGCTGGACACAGTGGCTTCAAGCTGCCCCTAGACTAGATGCCCAGGGATAGGAACTCACAGGGTCAATGGAAGTCAGGTCATTGAAGGAGAGGTCAATCCAGGCCAGGTTCTCTGGGTGCTGCAGAAGCTGTGAAACCACCTGGCTGAAGTCTTTCAGATCATTGAGGACATTGTTGTTGAGCCACAGGGACTGGGTCAGTGACTTTCCTGACTTTGAGTGCTTCACTGGTCGTAGACCTGTCCTTGGCTCCTCGCTTACCAGATCTATGATGACAAAATAAGACTTGAGTTCATTCATTCACTTAATTAGATTTTTAAGTTTTATTTGTATGAGTGTTTTGCCTGTATATATATACACTGTGCATACCTGGTGTCTGCATAGTCAGAAGAGTGTGCTAGATCCCCTAGAATTGGAGTTAGAGGTGGTTGTGAGCCACTATGTGGGTATTAGGAATTGAACTTGGTATCTCTAAAGGAGCAACAAGTGCTCTTAACCTCTAAGCCATCACTCTAGCCCAAGGCTTGGGTTTATCATCTTTGCTTTTCTACCTTTAGGGGGTGAGAAGGAAGAGCTGGAACATACAAGTGCTACTTTGAGGCCTTGGCAGGGCCCCAGCACCAGAGTCTAGTGAGACTCTCCCTGCCGCAAGCTCCAAAGATCAGAGTAAGTTTAGAGTAAGGGCTAAAGAATTTTAGGTCCGATGGCCTTCTCGTGTCTTTTGTATTATTGAATTCTGTGTATATCACCCCTGTTAGTGGAGCAGACTTTTTCCCACTTTACAAATAAGGAAAGTAAGAACCAGAGTTGTTGGGGTAAACCAAGATGATATCACAAAATGCAGAATCCTCTTCTAGTATCACTTACAGAATTTACTTCATTGGAGCACATCTAGTGTCCGTCACTCCTTCACTAATTACAAGCTTTATCGGATAGTAGATACATAGTAGTAAGCAATGAGAGAGAATGTGCCAGACTTTGGATGAGCAGTAGGGCAGAGATGAAGCATATGTGTCTCAGAGGAGTTTCTGTGGGCATGGTGGAAACAAACTGGCAATGAGTGTTTTGCGGTAATCATAGTGATTGCAGCAAGGAAATGGTGTTAGTGCTGTGAGAGCACAGGGAAGGCGAAATCTGAGCTGAACATGGTAGATTAGGAGACAGTAACCAGGCAAAGAAGGGGAGAAGAGATGAGAACAACATGAGCAAAGGTACAAGAAGAGGACGGAGACACATGTCCACCGGTACCAGGCACAAGTAGAAAAAAGCAGATGGAAGCCAGTCCTTAGTCCTAAATGCCAGGCTAAGCTCTTGGGCTTTGTCCTGTAGGTAATGAGAAGTCACAGGAGTGTTTAAAACAGATAATTCAGCTAAATGCTGGTGGTGCACACCTCTGATCCCAGCATTTGGGAGGCAGACCTCTGTGAGTTAAGGCCAGCCTGATTTACAAAATAACATTTCATGATAGCCAGGGTTGTTATCCAGAGAAACCCTGTTTCATACAAAACAAAAATAAACCCACCAGAGGACTGGAGAAATGGCTCAGATGCTAAGAGTACTGGCTACTCTTCAGAGGACCTGGGTTCAATTCCTAGCACCCACATGGCAGCTCACAACTGTGTAACTCCAGTTCAGGGTACCCAACACCCTTACACAGACATAAATGCAGTCAAAACACCAATGCACATTAAAAACAAACAAAAAAAACACCAGAGATAATTCAGCTTTTCACTTGTGACTCTGAATCTTCTATGTAGCATATGGATATAGAAGGCAGATAGAATTCAAAGATCAGTTTTCTACTTTAGCATGAGAGACGATAGACATAGCAATTATGACTGGACATAGCTATTATCATGATTTGGCTATATAAAGATGGTGTCCAGCTTTTTGTTCAGGCTCTGTTAGCTGATGAAGAATTTCAGGAGAAATTGGACTAGAAAGGTGATGAGTTTAGGCTTAGAGTTGATGTGTTAGAGGTTCCTATTGTATGAAAAGGCAAGAGACGCCATCTAGGCAGGTAGGCATTAGAATGAAGGTCTAAAGCCAAGGAAATAACCTTATAAACATTTAGTACAGAGTATATAGGTTAGGGAAACAGGCAGTTCCTTAGAGAGGAAGAAAAAGATTTAAAAAGTTAGTAAATAATCCGAAGAACAGGGAGATGCAGGAGAGAATGGTTTTATTTAATTTTAAATAAAAATTTATGTGTATGGGTACTTTGCATGCATATATGTGTGCCATGCCTAGTAAGACCAGAAGAGGTCATCAGATCCTCGAGAATTAAAATTCCAGATGGTTGTGAACCATGTGGTGCTAGGAATCAAACTTGGATTCTTTGGAAGAACAATTAGTGTCCTTACCTGCTAAGCCATCCCTCAAGCCCCTGAGGGAATAGTTTAAAGGTGGTTGGAGAATCTGAAGTATATGGATGAGTAAGTTCCAGGAAAAACAAGGATTCAACACTAATTCTGGCAGCTCAGAAGTAGCTGGTAACCATGTAAAGGCTTGAGGACATAAGCCAAATTGGAGTGAAAATGAATAAAAAGCGCAAGCAGGTAGCCTGAACATCCACATTGGAAAGTGAGGGTGCAGAGGAGACACATACACTCCTCCCCTGCTTTTTCAAATAAGAATCATAATGAGGAGCCGGGCGTTGGTGGCGCACGTCTTTAATCCCAGCACTTGGGAGGCAGAGGCGGGCGGATCCCTGTGAGTTCGAGGCCAGCCTGGTCTACAGAGCTAGTTCCAGGACAGCCTCCAAAGCCACAGAAACCTTGTCTCGAAAAACCAAAAAAAAAAAAAAAATCATAATGAGGGTGGGTGGGCTGACTCTGCCCAAGCTGGCATCAGTGGGAGACCCAGAGTCAGACTGCAGTTTAGTTAAAGTGGTTCCATTCCCTACTGCCTCCAAGCTTCTAGCAAGTCTTAAGTGGCCTATAGGGAGAAAGCACTTAGCACACTCTCCACACCCAGTTGACCACTTCCTCTCAGCTGCAGGTTAGACAGCATCCACCAGGTGGCTCTCTGCATTAGTCTTGGAATGAACAGGACCCAAGGCTGAGCCCTTGGGCAGAGGGGAGTATAAGGATAATGGAGCAGAATGCTCCTGATCATGAGTAGACTTCAAATCCTGTCTCCCTCTCACACTTTCCAAAAACTTTCAAAGGATTTGACTTAGATGAATAATAATGTCAGAAGAACTACACATGAACTAGCATCTGTTCTGATAATGCAGAAGCTTAGGGGTGTGTTACATAGAAGACTGGTCCCACAGTGTGAGGGAGCCCTTGGATGGAGCTGCCTTAATGGGAGGCAGGCTGAGCTCCTGTTACCTAGGGTAAAAGGAAGCATCTAAAATTGCTGTACGAGCCTGTCCCTTCACATTAGCAAGCTACTGGTTGTGCACAGGATAAGCTTATGTTTGGTAACACTCCTGAGACTTCTGTCTGACCAGGGAGTTCAAATTAGATGTCTGTATTTAGACTAATTTATCTAAGTCACTGGTATCTCAGATTCTGTGGTACACCTTGATTAATTCAGCAAATACTGTCCCAAGAATCCCCCAACTCTAAGCTCTAGGGAAGAGAAAGAGCTCTGGGTTTAATATGCCTTTCCCTATACCACCCCTTAAAAGACTTAGCAAGGAGTACAATTGCTTGGTGTATATGTCTCTACATATATGTAAATACTGCTTAATAAATAATAGGAGTTCAGCTGGGTAGTGGTGGCAGCGTATGTCTTTAATCCAAGCACTTGGGAGGCAGAAGCAGGTGAGTCTGTGAGTTTGAGGAGAGGACAACCAGGGCTACACAGAGAAATTCTTTCTTGAAAACCACACCCAGTTGGGTGGTAGTGGCGGTGGTGCACGCCTTTAATCCCAGCACTCGGGAGGCAGAGGCAGGCTGATCTCTGTGAGTTTGAAACTAGCCTGGTCTACAAGAGCTAGTTCCAGGACAGCCTCCAAAGTCACAGAGAAACCCTGTCTTGAAAAACAAAAAACAAAACAAAAAAAAAGAAAAGAAAACCAGGACCAATAATAATTAAAAGGAGTTCAGTAAGTTCTACAAATTCTATTTTGTGCTGTACTTGGTTAGAACTGACTAGTGTATCCTCATTCTGAGGAGTCTACAAAGAGCAGAGTCAGATCTTCCCACTGAAAGTTGGAAATTCCTATGCAATAGGAATTAGGAGCCATTACACCCCCCAATCATTTTTGCTTTCATGCACAAAGCTATTATTGCAACTAAAACACTTTTGAAATATGTGTTACATCAGTCAGAAGTAAGGTGAGCACAGTAAGGGTCATGGTAGATGAGTGCGTGTTGAAGAGGGACAGACATGAGATACCAGTGTGTTGGACCCTAACTGAAGTAGTGTCCTGAACCAAAACCCAGACTAGTAACACTCCTGAGCTAATGGTGGCTAGCTGGTTGAAAACCCAAGCCAGGGGGGCTGGAGAGATGGCTCAGAGGTTAAGAGCACTGACTGCTCTTCCAGAGGTCTTGAGTTCAATTCCCAGCAACCACATGGTGGCTCACAACCATCTACAATTCAATCTGGTGTATATGTAATAAATAAAATAAATCTTAAAAAAAAAAAGAAACGTGGGGTGTTAGAGACAGTGTGAGCCCTAGGGTAATACTTCACTAACATCTTATAAAAAAAAAAAAAAAAGAAAACCCAAGCCAGATAATGTATCTGAGCTAGTGAGTTTGTACACATGCTCTGGGAGGTCAGTAACCAAAGGCAGAAGTGGCAGAACTGACTTCTAGAGCATATAGTACTGTCAAAGCTTTGTCATGTAGTGTGAAGGGTTAGTTGCCTATTTAGGAGGGTACTGAATAGTAAAATGAGATTGAGTGTGGGCAGAGCTGGAACTGCAGGGAATGTTAGTGATGACGGAAGAAATTTGGCATGTATGGAATGAATGGATATTTGTCAAACATTTTAACTGGGAATATGCCAGTTTGTTGCTAAAAAAGACCTCTCATATTTTTACCAATGAGCAGAACAGGCCTATGTTCCTAGACAAAAGAGACAGGGTTCTGCCACCATGGTGGAACCTGGCAGTGGCCTCTTTTTTTCTTACTAGTTTCCTCTTGTCAAGATATAAACAGAATACTATGGCTTCTGCCTGATTAGGTGATTTCTTAGTATTCTTTATGAATTTCCTGCTATTGCCTGACTTCTCTTGAAGATGGGTCAACTACCACAAGAGATCCCTGGTTCCTTTTAGATTTGCTACTTTTAAAAACTAGGGGATGGGGGTGGTGAGTGGTTGCTCTTGCAAAAGACCCGGGTTTGATTTGCAGTACCCACATGATGGTTCACAACCATCCCTAACTCCAGTTCTAGGGAATTTGAAGCCCTCTTCTGACTTCCTTGGGCACCAGGCTTGCATGTAGTACATATGCATACATTTAGGAAAAACATTCATATACATAAAAACAATTCTCAAGGGACTGGAAGAGATAGTGCAGCAGTTAAGAGAACTGGCAGCTTCTCCAGAGGGCCCAGTGGAATTCCCAGTACCTACATGGAGGCTCACAGCCATCTGTAACTCTAGGTTTAGGAGGTCTGGTGCCTGGTTCTGGCCACTGTCTGCACCAGGCATACAAGGAATACAGATATACATGCAGGCAAAACACCCATACAAATAAAATTTTAATTTTGTTTTGCTTTTTTTTTTTGGTTTTTCGAGACAGGGTTTCTCTGTGGCTTTGGAGGCTGTCCTGGAACTCACTTTGTAGACCAGGCTGGCCTCGAACTCACAGAGATCTGCCTGCCTCTGCCTCCCGAGTGCTGGAATTAAAGGCGTGCACCACCAACGCCCGGCCTCAAATAAAATTTTAAAATGTATTTTTTACTCTCAAGGCTGAGGCTAGAGCTTAGATACAGAGCATTTGCCCTACATGTCAGAGTCCTTGCATTCACTCCTTAGCCCTGTAAAACAACAAAAAATCCTTACTTCACCCTCTCCCTTCAAAGACAAGAAGTTGGGGGAGGGATGTGTTTAGGCATTTTAAGTAGAAGACTAAGGTACTTCTAGCTTGGTACCATGTTGTGTTGATTGCTGTGCTCTGTGGGCTGACCTTGGATCACGTGGATGCTTTTGAAGGAATAGTCAAGAGGAGGCTCCTGCACCGAAGTGTTCACGTAGTCCCGTTTGCTCATAGTTCAGGCCATCATTCATCAGATGGAAGCATGGGCCCTGGGAGTCTGGGTTCAGCCTGGAAGGACAGAGAAAAGCGACTATTCCATATGGAGTGTCTACCCTTAGGACTCCCCACAGCGCTCCACACTGCTTTCTACTCTCTACAGCTCTAGGCCTGCCTAGCTCATTTCCATTTTAAGATAACTGGTCCTTTCATGTGTAGCATATTTCTCCCTTCTCAGAGCAACTTCATGACATTTAGAATTCATCTGATAGTGATAGCACCCATTCCTTATGGGGGCTTTTGTTTTGTTTTATTGACATAGGGTCTAATGTAGCCCAGGCTAGCCTCAAACTAATGATCCACCTGCCTCAGCCTCTTGAGTGCTGGGATTTGGGGTATGCACCATCACATGACTATAGCACCCATTTCTATTTTCCAGATGAAGAAACTGAGACCCAAAGGGTAAAGGACTTGCCCAGAGTTAAGCCGAGTCAGTTGTGGACAGCAGTCATGGTCTCCGGAATCCTACTGAGAGCCCTCTTACTACTGCACAGTAGTTACCATAGAGACTGCCTTGCTGCATAGTCTCTGTTGACATCAGCTGCACTATTCTGTTACTTAACAAATCCCTGAAGGCCTGCACTGAATCTGGTTGGTGTCTGAGTCCTTTACTTTGTAACACAACTAGAGATTTGCTTCCTTCCTTCCTTCTCTGTTCAGCCCTTTCCATCTGAGAACCCTACTTCCAGTCACATCTTGGATGTACCACCACACATAAACAGAAAAGCAGAATCTACCCTCACTCACCTGTCACTGAAGCCTGAAATTCCACCATTAGGGATTCATTCCACTGGGTTCAGGGATTGTTCCCTGTTAAAATGGAAACACCGCCAGAAAGAGGTGAACATAAAGTTATCAGTCATTTGTAATGAGTGGCTTGCCTTATCCAATCCTTTCCAATGTGTTAGGTAAAGTAACCTGGAGACTAGAACTATGGAATACTACTCACCTGGGATGAAGAGAGCTGAAAAACACTTTACCAAGGGCTGTTTTTTGTTATGTGTGTGTGAATCGTAGAAACAAAAAGCAAACAGACAAAAGACAAGTCTCTAGATTATACTCCTTCTTTTCACTCCACCCACTGTTATCACTTCCTCTGCCTTATTTCCTTGCTTTCCCAAAGTGTGAGGTTTATAGCAATGGCACGCTTATAAAGCAGGATGCGTTGTAGAGCAGTGCTGTCCAACAGAGAGAATGCAAGTCACAGATGCAAGCCTAATTTTTTTTTTTTTTTTTGGTTTTTCGAGACAGGGTTTCTCTGTATTGTTTTGGAGGCTGTCCTGGAACTCGCTCAGTAGACCAGGCTGGCCTCGAACTCACAGAGATCCGCCTGCCTCAAGCCTAATTTTTGAGATACATAATGTCAATATTTTAGGAGCTATGCAGGCTAATGAGAAGGCTCAGCAGATAAAGGTACTTGCTGCACAAGCTTGGCACCTTGAATTTGATCCCTGGAACACATAATAGGAGAGAATCAACACCATCAAATTGTCTTCTGACTTCTATATACTTGGCCACACACATAAGTAAATAAATAGATAATTTTAGGAGCTATTATTTCAGTAAAATGAAATGGGTGAAGTTAATTCTAATATTTAACTCAGCATATCCAAAACATTTAACGTAATTAATATTAGGAATTACTGAGCTATTTTAGAGCCCATCCCAAAATGAACTAGCTACCTGTTGGGTCAGGTGCTCAACTGTTACACATGACTAATGGTCACCAAATTGGACAATACTGATAGAGAAAATTAAAAATGGAAGGCAAAAGCCAGGTGTGGTGGCACATACTTTAGTCACAGCACTTGGCAGGTAGAAGCAGGCTGATCCCTAAGTTAGAGGCCAGCCTGGTCTACAGAGAAAGTTCCAGGCCAGCCAGGACTACACAGAGAAACCATGTTTCTGAAAACAAAAAACTATCTAGGTGAAAAAGAAATATATCAGGGATCACTTAGTTATTACATTCCTGGCAGCCAAAGGACAAAGGGAAGCCTTGGGATGCATAGTACTCATCATAGGAATCAAAGAAATTGGTCTCTGTGCAGAGACAATGAAGCATTAGTAAGTACTATTCAAATAAATTGTGCTAGAAGCCAAGGCCAAGAAGCATATCTGTAGTCCCAGCACTTGGGACCCTAAGGCAGAAGATTGTGAGTTTGAGGCCAGCTTGAGCAACATTGTCTCAAAAACAAAACACCACAAACAAAACAACAAGGAGAAAAGGCACAGCAGAGAATGCAAAGACAAAGCTGGGAATGCTAGGTGGCTGGTGAACACTGGAGGCTGAGGTAGGAGGATCATACTCAAGGTCTGCCTGGGTTATATATAATGAGATCCTATCCCAACAACAATAAAACCCGCAAACGACCTGATTTCAGTTTAGGCTTAATAAATACAGCTTTTTTTTTTTTTTGGTAATTTTGGTAATTTAATATATGTAAGAACAGACTATCAGGTTTGGAGGAATAAAAACTTGGGTGTACATTTGGGAGGCAGAGGCAGGGGGATCTACATGAGTTAGAGTTGGAGGCCAATCTGGTTTACAAAGAGAATTCCAGGACAGCCAGAGCTATATAGAGAAACCCTATCTCAAAAAACGGAGAAGGAAAAAAAATTGGCTTTTTGAGGGGCACAATACCTAGCTCCCAAATAAATCACATGTTCTTAGTTATGCATGCCTGGTTTTAGCTTGGGCTACATAGTGGGATCCTTTCTCAAAACCCAAAGTGGTGACTGTGGTGGCTTACATTTGTAATCCTAGTACTTTCGAGATAGAAGCAGAAAGATCAAGAGTTCAAAGTCATTCTAAGCTACAGAGCAAGTTTGAAGCTATTACTGGACTACACAAAACTATCTCAAAATAAAAACAGAAGAAAAAAGAAAGGAGATCAGGAGCTAACAATGACAGAGATGAAGACCCTCTTGAGCAGCAGCAAAGTCAAACTTGTAGGAACACATGGACAACATATAGAGGTCCTCACTGCCCTGATTTTCAGGTGTTTCTCAGCCATGCTAGATTAATTTAGGCAGTCTCTTTTTACTTAGGGAAATCTATAGGCATTCAACAACTCATTATTCTTTTCTTTTTCCTATAGTCTTAGGGATAGAATCCATTACACATACTGGGTAAGTTCTGTTACCGAGTCATGTCTGCAACTCTCAACAGTCTTCTTTTGTAGAACTAAAGGAGCCTAGCTTAGGCAGAAGCCCAATGTACTTGAGTACCTACATTTCTTTTTGTTTTTGTTTTTTTTTTGGCCAGGCACTTTTTAAATTATTTATTTATTTATTTATTTATTTATTTTTAATTTTTCGAGACAGGGTTTCTCTGTGGCTTTGGAGGCTGTCCTGGAACTCACTTTGTAGACCAGGCTGGCCTCGAACACACAGAGGTCCGCCTGCCTCTGCCTCCCGAGTGCTGGAATTAAAGGCGTGCGCCACCAACGCCCGGCCACTTTTTAAATTATTAATTACAAAATTTATGTGAGGCCAGCCTGATCTACAGAGCTAGTTCCAGGACAGCTAGGGTCATTACACAGAGAAACCCTGTCTCAAAAAAACAACAACAAAAAATTATGTGTATGGCTGTTATGTCTCTATGTATGTTTGTGCTCCAGTTATGTGTTTACGGAGGCCAGAGGTCAAATCCTCTGGGACTGGAGTGTTATACTGTTGTCAGCCTCATGAAGGTGCTGGGAATTAAACCTAGGAACTTTGTAAGAGCAGCCAGTACTTTTGACTGCTGAGACAACTTTCGAGTCTCTTCTTTTTTTTCCTTTTTGATTTTCAAGACAGGGTTTCTCTGTGTGCACCCTGGCTGTCCTGGGACTCACTCTGTAGACCAGGCTGGCCTCTGCCTACTGAGTGCTAGAATCAAAAGTGTGTACTACCACTGCCTGGCATGAAAATGTATTTTAAAATATCCAAGAAAAAGGCCGGGCGTTGGTGGCGCACGCCTTTAATCCCAGCAACTCGGGAGGCAGAGGCAGGCGGACCTCTGTGTGTTCGAGGTGTTCGAGGCCAGCCTGGTCTACAAAGTGAGTTCCAGGACAGCCTCCAAAGCTACAGAGAAACCCTGTCTCGAAAAACCAAAAAAAAAAAAAAATCCAAGAAAAAGTTTTCTGTTCTTTGGTGGCTAGAACTTTAGAGCAGAAATGATTTTGTGTAGCAATAGCTTCCAATGAATTTTTTTTTTTTTTGGTTTTTCGAGACAGGGTTTCTCTGTATTGTTTTGGAACCTGTCCTGGAACTCACTTGGTAGACCAGGCTGGTCTCAAACTCACAGAGATCCAACTGCCTCTGCCTCCCGAGTGTCCAATGAATGTTTTGAAGAAGTTACGAAAGTGGAGCTCTAAAATGATGACTCTGCTTGTTGGTAGCTAGTACTGTGTTTTATCCACCATCATACAAAGAACTTGGCTTATAAGAGGCACTTGTGGGATGAGAAACTGCCACTATACTGATTTCTGTTTGGGCAGAGTTGACACTGAGCTATTCTAACAATTGGCTCCCAGGTTCAGCTGTTTCATTCCACACCTCATTTCTAGTAAAATCTCAATCCAATTCTGCCTTCTGCCCTGTGCCTGACAAAAAGGAATGAAGCCAAGGGACAAATAATAGAGTCCTGTCAGAAGCACAGAGACCTGCTGGCTTTCTACTGATGTGCCAGAGCAATCTAGCCAGTCCCAAGTTAACAGGTGCCTATCTAGTGACTACTCTCGTTTCACCCTCAGCCCTAGTGTGCCTGTACTACCATCTCCACCACCTTTAACCCCAGCACTTCAGAGGCAGAGGCAGGCAGATCTCTGTGAGTTTGAGTTCCAGAACAACCAGGACTGTTACATAGAGAAATCCTGTCTCTAAACTCCCTCCCCCCAAAAAGCCAATAGCAGCTGGTGCCTGTACTCTCAACACTGGGAAATAGAGATGGGGATCCTGGGGACTTACTGGCAAGCACACAGCCAGCCTTTGAGCGGGGTTAAGAGAGAGACAAGAGGGGGCTGGAGAGATGGCTCAGGAGAGATGGCTCAGAGGTTAAGAGCACTGACTGCTCTTCCAGAGGTCCTGAGTTCAATTCCCAGCAACCACATGGTGGCTGACAACCATCTACAATTCAATCTGGTGTATATGTAATAAATAAATAAATCTTTAAAAAAAGAGACAAGAGCTCCTGTCTCAAAAAGTAAAGTGGAGAATGATAGAGGACACCTGACATTGACCGTAGCCTCATGAGTATATACACCTGTGTGAGCAAGCTGCCAGGCCTGGTGGCGCCCGCCTTTAATTCTAGTACTCGGGAGGCAGAAACAGGTGGATCTCTGTGAGTTTGAGGGCAGCCTGGTCTACAGAGCAAGTTCCAGGACAGCCTCCAAAGCTACAGAGAAACCCTGTCTCAAAAATCAGGGCAGAAACAGGTATGGATCTCTGTGAGTTTGCCAACCTGATCTACAAAACGAATTTTAGGACACCCAGAACTGTTACACAGAGAAACCCTGTCTTGAAAAAAAATACATGTACATATTTAAAATTATATACACATATATGTATATGATTTTGTACACACACACACACAGACACACACAGAGGTTCTCATATAGCCAGGCTGGCCTGGAACCCACTATGTAGCCAAGGATGACTTGAATTCCTGATCCCCTCTACCTCTACATTCCAAGTACTAAGATTACAGGCATGTGTCACATACCTGTCTTTGTAAAAATCTTTCTTTTCCAGAGAAAACATCTTTTAAATTTATTTTATCAATTTAGGTATTAAAGCTGGCAAGAATCAATGATTCCTATTCATTGTCC